AACTCTGGCTAAACCAGTGATTCAAGCTTAGGGCTAGAATGTCATAAGGCATTTAAGAACCATGAAGCAAAATAAAAACAATTCATGTTTAAAATGATATAATTTCCAAGGTTAAAAGACATTAATTCAGGTAACAAGGCTACAACCCTTTGTCTCTGTATCCCTGGTGGCAACTGACAATGCTATGGCAGAAAAGCATTTTCCACAGGGTAGTTGGAACTAAGGTAAAACCCATACCAACTTGTTAAAACCCAAGACTTTTCTTGCCTCAGGTGGCAAGGAAGCCAAATGGCCTCTTGTCCTTTTAAAAGATTAGTCTAGCCTATATAAAAGAGGTGTTTCTGCTATAGCAAATAAGTTAACTCAAACACAAGATACTGTGGGGAGTCCTACAGCTACAAAAATGAAAAATAACATACTATGGAAACTTGTAATTTAATTGTGGGTGAGAAAGGAACACAAATAACCATATTATATCAGAAAATTGTTAAATATATAGGATGTCCAACAAGTGAAGTCTGTATATCACAAAAAAGGATAGAGAACATTTCTAGCTGAGAAGATCAAGGAAGAAATCATGGAGAACATGGTATCTAAGTTCTGCCTTGAAGGATTAGATGGATGTCAATGGGTGAAGATTAAGGAAAGGAAAAGTCATGCCCACTTCAGGTATTTTGGCCAGCCTAGAGACCTAGATCTGGAAGAGGGCTGAATGAGATCAGGAAATGGTACTCAATAACTGAATTTGGCTGGGAAGGTAGAGTACATTAAGGGAAGTGAAATGACATAAGGCTAGAAAGTTAGATTAGAGCCGGATTGTGGAAGGCCCTGAAAGCCTTCAACTTAGGTGTTTATTTTTGATTATAATAAAAAAAGAAAGAAATACACTGAAGAAACAGGAATGTATTCAAATATTTTCCTTTCCCTCCAAACTCCCATCCCCCAGGTCTACTGAAATGCACTGCCAGGAATTAAAAAGTAATGTTAACAAATAAGATAGCCTTTTGTTGTTGTTTTTAACCAACTGCCATTATTATTTGCATCATTTATTTATAAGATGCTATATAATTGTAGAATTGTGCTGAATAAATACAAATGTATCACTGCCTTGAAGATCTGGTAGTCTGAAAAGAGGAAGGATAATTTAAGAGCAAACCATAATTGACTAATTTCATACTATTTGGAGGTGGTGAGTACAAAAGGATTATTTTGTGGGCTGGCAAGTTTGCCCAGTCTTCATAGCCACCTTTAGTGCTACAGCAAGCTGAGTTTTACAGGATTTCCTGCAACTATGACTCAGTATTGGACTACATCTTTATTCATTTTGAAATCCTAAATGTGCTGGGTGCTTATTCTATGAATATGCATATTAAACTGTTGAAACAAAACTCCTCCAAACAGCAAATGTTCATGATACCGGAAGTAGAATCTCTGGAGAGTTTTGCTGATATATTAGCTATTCAGAAATGTTCATCTTAATGTAAAATGCAAAGCAGTAGAATACATTTATGCCATTTTCCCCAAAAGGCAGTAATAGAAAATTATAAAGTTTTTCTTTCTTTTAGTAAGGCAATATGGGGTAGTGGATAAGGAGAAAACTCTGGAGTAAAGAAAACCAGGGTTAAAGTCCTAGCTGTGACACTTACTAGCTGTACAACCATAGGCAGGTCCCTTAATCTCTCAGCTCCCCAGGCATCTATATAAGACTACACATCTCAGAATAACTTGTTTCTTTAGAGAGAAACTGCATGTCAGTGAAATCAGTTTACCCAAGACTGGGATTATACTTTTTTTTTCCCTCTTTGCAACTTTTAAATTTGCCTACCCTGAGAGGTTACTATCGTTTGCCCCTGGTGTGGGTTTGAGCATTTTTGTGATTGTTTTGAAAGGGTAGGATTGGGGATGAGTGATTGCAACTCTACCAGAGTTTCTTTTAAGGCTGATTAAAGGTCAATATTCTGAAAACCTTTATATTCTTCAACAAATTCAAATTTGAAACCTCTTTAGTTTAAAAAGTTACCCCACTCACACCTCATACCAGTGTGTATGTGTGTGTGTGTGTGTGTGTGTGTGTGTGTGTGTATGTGTGTGTGTTTATTTTGAGAGAGTCAGGTGATCATAGAATTAGAGTCAGCAAATCCACCTCCCTCATTTTCCAGATGAGGAAACTGAAATGTATAGAAGTTACATGACTTGCCCTGGGATACATGATAAAAAGGGATTTGAAGCAGTATTCAACCTCTTCTCTTCTTCCTATCTCCAAAACCAACTCTCTATACAATATACCAGGTTTCCTTTAGGTTAATCTGAAACTTCCTAATTAATTTTATAAGATTAAAGATGTAGACTTCTGTCTCCCCTTACAGTTGAACTATTGTGTTTGTGAATTTCAGGGTTTAGTGTCAGGTTGCATTTGAGGAAAGCCAAAATATTATCTACACAATGTTTTGGCTTCCTATTAAACTTTGAATCCCCTTTCCCTCTCCCCTCTTATTAGTTCCATTTTCTGGGTAATAATTTAACCTGAACATTGATGTTGTTATCTTCCTTGTTTATTCTCTTAAAAAGCCACTGAAACAGAAATGCACTAAGGCTTGAAGATTTGTTTAAACACCAATAAATCTGAAAAGGTCCTGTTGGGCTGCTTGTAGTGTTAATAATGCTTCATAATTACTTACTGTATGCTGTTAGGATAATACTGAAACAGTTTGGGGATCTTAGAACCAATAATCATGTGAGAAAAGCAAAGATATTATGGCAGGAACAATACACTTTTAACAAAGATGTTTTTGAAGTTAGTAGAATAGACAAACCTGGCTTGGGTCTGGGTGATCCCCTTTCCTTGAGAAGACTGGCAAATGCATACTTTTCCGGAGCTGGTTGACAATTACCTTTTTTTTTTTTAGTAATCTATAAAGAAATGTTCATGAATGGAGTTAAGAGCCACATCTCTTCAGAGAGACTGAGAACAGCAAAAAATTAGGCCCAGTTTAGCAGAGCTGACAGCAGCAGTCTTGGACATCACTGCATGCAGCATCATTGATTTTTAGCTCCAATTATCCCCTTACCCTTTCTTCTTAAAAAAAACAAAACAAAACAAATATACAATAAAGCCCAAAACAGAACAGACAAAACCATCATAATAGGGGAAAAAAAGCCTATGCAAAAGAGAACTTGTAACATGGAGAAAATATGGATTTTCTTGGACCAGCAAGATGTACTCTGCAAGATTAAATTTTTATACAGTAAATGTCCCCTTGATTTTTTTTCCCACAAAGCAAGAAACAGAGAAAATGGGATCTATCTCTAGAGTTGGACATGTATATTATTCCCTTTCAAGGGAGAATTGTACAACATAGGGAGAGAAATTTGTGTAACACAGTGGCTCCTATTCGGACTCTTGATCCCCATTACTGGGGGAGTTCTGTTGAAGATGATTGTTAATTAAGTCAGGAAGAATCAATCCCTCAATAGGCAATAACATATACTGAAAGACTCCACACCTCTCTCTTTTGAGTCTGTAGCTTTGAAACCCAAGCACCTCTTTCCTGGACTTTAGCAAGGTAAGGGAAAGGAATTTCTCCATTCCCCTTTATAGTGTCAATGGCTTCTAGCTGTTGAAGCACATGATAGAAAAAATTAAGTGCGTCTAAAATTGAACCTCAAGCCTCTGGCTGCCTGTTGTGTTTTATATTTCTTTCCCTGTACCCACACCCCTTAATGTTGACTCTAAAAAATGGACATTTTTTTTCAGACCTAGTAGAAACTTCAGGAGATCCAGAAATCAGAAGTTGTTGAGTCAGTGCTAGCTGTCTACCAGGAGGTGCTTCCTAAAACTACATCACTTTTAAAAGGAAATGACCTCCAACAAGCTCATGTTGAACCATGAAGAACCATGCCTGGATTGATCTAGACTTTTTGAATTGCTTGGAAGCAAGTATATTCACAAAATATATTTAGGGAGATGATGATGAGGATGATGATTTTATGTTTTATGTATTTGTTAGTGTGTGTTTTAATGTATCATTTCTGTTTTAAGCATTTCAGTTATGCTAGAAGAAATAAATTTCTGTCCTATGCCTGATATCTGTTTTGTGTATTAAGTACCTATTTTAGAAGTAAGTTTGTTAATCCTTTTCTGGGAGACCCTAGATGTAAGCTATACCTAAGCTTTGTTTTTAGATATTTTCTTCAGAATTCTAACACAGGGAGAGGTATAATGACCCAGAGAGAATGAGGGACCCCAACTCTCTTATTTTTTATTAGGCCAGTTCCAGGAGTAATTCACATGAGTTCAGAGCAGGCCTTGTGGAATAGGGTCCTCTATGCCATGGCTCACACAAGAAACTCAATTGAGAGTGAAAGAAAAGGATGAGAAGAGTGAAATGTGTATGACAGGATCAGTGTAGATTTGGTTAGTAACATGATTTCAAAATGTATTTAATTAAATATTTAAATATGAAGTATGAAGTTATAAGTTACATTTCCCCATTATTTCTAGGCAAAGTTCACTTTTCTGTAAAAATCAAAATTAGGGTTTGATTGACATTTTAATGAAGAATCTCCCTGCAAACTGCAAAAATCTTTGTAAATTGCAGCCCTCTAGACAGCTCTCTCATGTCTATACCCCTGGTGGGAATCCATAGAAGCACCTGACTTCTCTTTAGAAGTTTAGATGGCATCTCATAAACTTATCCTTAGGGAGAAAAAGATTACTACTCCCTATTGTCTCACAGTCTGGCTGGTACTTCGAGAAAGAACGTCTAAAAACTTCTAAGGAGTTGATTCGACACTTGTATGTGTTTGCTAAAGCTGTGGAGCAGTTTTCTCTCTCAGTCAGTGTTACAATAAGAGAGAAAGGCAATGTTACAGTTACAAAAAAACAGCGGCCGGCCCGCAAACGGAGGCATCAGCAGCCTCCGCCCCCTACGTCCGGCGATTGGCTGGTTTCTGCTCATCATTTCCCTGCTAGGAAAAGGGAAGGGCCAGTGACGTTCGGGAGCCCAGCTGCAGCTTCTGCCACCTCAGTTGCACAAGGTGTTGAATCTGAAAGGAAAGGAGAGCATGAGTGAGACAGGCGCGGAGCGATAGGGAACGCCCCGGGACCCAGAGCAGAACCAGGGTGCCAGTGGAAACCTCCGACCTCTTCACTAGCATGCGAGGAACCGCCGCCGTCGCCGCCGCAGAAGCAGCAGCAGCAGCTACTGCCACTGCCACTGCCACTGCCACTGCCTTCTGTGTCCCTGATCTCTTGTGATCGGAGCTCCAGGCTTCCCTCTCATTTTATAGATTTTCATCCTCCCCTCTAACACCAAACGGAATCGTTATGCAGAGCGAAGGTGTGAAAGGGGGGAAAAAAGGATTTCCCTGGGCTGGCAAGATGCGCTCCATCAGGAAGAGGTGGACTATCTGCACGATAAGTATCCTCCTGATCGTTTATAAGACAAAAGAAATAGCAAGAACTGAGGAGCATCAGGAAACGCAACTCATAGGGTAAATGCAAAGTGTGGGTCTAACAAAAGCGATAGAAGACGTGATAATGTAGAAGAAGGAACAGCTGGAGAGGGCGTGTGTGTGTGTGTGTGTGTTTGTGTGTGTGTTTTGTGTCTGTTTAGCCTCTTAAATAAAATAGGCTCCCACTCAAATGTGTGTTTCCCCAGCCCCCACATCCTTTCCAGTAGTAGTTCAGTTGTGCATGTGCGGTCTTGATGCCTGAAGAAGTCAAAGGAGTAGTAACTACTCATGTAAACAACGAGTTAGTGGAAGGACTCCCCTTTAACCTTAGAGGTAGTATATAAGTGAGTTCTCATTATTTACCTTGCCCTCTATGTACACAGAGGAAATAGGTTGCTGAGGTGATGAGCTTTCAAACTCAAAAAAGTAGAGACTACCTTCCCTTCTCCTTCCTCTCTTCATTCTAACTATGTATCTCGGTGTAACAGAATTTCTAACTGTTTACAGCTAGTATCTCAGTTTTTATTTGCACTTTCTTTGAAAGTGTAAAGATGTCAAAGATGTTGACGTCTTGCAATCAGCTTTAAAAACTGGGACGCAGAACGCTACAAAATATCATTTTCTTCAGTTTCTTCGCTTCATTCAAATGGACAAATAGTTTAAGAACATTCCAAGGTCTCTTGATTTATTTTAGTGTTGCCCTTCCTTCCTCACCGTTTTTGTGACTTTCAAGTTTACTCAAGAGGTTACTACAACTTTGCTGCTATTGTACCTTGGCTGTAAAAACAGTTAAAAATCCATTTTTAGAAACAAATCTTCTTCAGACGACTAACCTCAGAAACTCCTTGTTAGCAGATATTTCTGCTAGTAGTTTCTTAATTCTCTCAGCTTTTACCCAGAGTGAAATCCTTAGTTAAAGCCACACTTTATGTGTCCCCGTTAAGGAGTGCTACCTCCCCTCCCCCCTATACACACACCAAACTTCTTGCACTTTTTTACCAGGCATAGACAGCTGCTCCCAAAGGACTAATAATCTAAGTTAAGAGGATGAGAAGAGGGGGAATTCATATAGGTAGACATTGCTAGTCTATAAGTAAGTCAGTGTATTAGAAATCTTGTAGCTAGGGGGTAGAGAAAGGTTTAATTGGCCTGTTTATCTAAGAAGTGTAAAAGATAGATTTGGGCGGGGGTGGGGTGGGGTGCAAGAGTATGTGTCTACCGGGGGAGAGGGTGTTGGGAGATCGAAAACCCGGCGCAGAGCAATTGACAAAGAGGACGCTTTTGATAAAGGGGGTGGTGGTGGAGGCAGTGGGCGGAGAGTATGGGATAAACCCTGCAGACCTGTCTCTCCATCTAACAAAGGGGGTCTCTGGAAAACTGATGGATGGAGAGTGAGATTTCCATAGATGGAGAAGGTCTTGCTTTCTCCTTGGGAACACCTAAGGGTAAGCCATTTCCAGAAATCAAGCTTTTGTAACTGAAAATAATTGCGAAAGGGCTTTAGTACCAGGGGAGCGTGCGGTCTACATGGCTCTCTCCACTGGGGAGATAGGGTGGGAGGGGCGCGTCTGGAGACAGAGACAGATACGACGTGTGCTTGTTACTACTCCAGTTGCTCGCCTGGAGCGTGTTTCAGTGGCGGACTAAGGCTGGTACCTCACCTACCCCTTCTTCCTGGGCGCAGCCGGCATGCTCTTCTCTTTCAGCCCCAGTTGAGAAGCTTCGAGACTTGAGGCTGCAGTCCCAAGCCGGAGGAACAGCGTAGGCGGGCCCCAGTTGCAGCTGAGGGTGCTGAGCTTGTGCACCCTCAAGAGCCAGAGTTGCGGTTTCCCCTTGGTGGTGTTATCTGAAAACAGGAATTGCTGTATAGCTTGCCTGTAACCAGTGTCTCTCAGCTATCTGAGGGCAGAAGCTGGGAGAAGACAGACCCCCAAAAAAGCATTAAGTAGGAGGAACCGAGAGGAACCAGGAGGAACCTTTTGTTGCGGAGAAACAGGTTTCTCTTCGATGCTGAAAAGGAGCTTGTGTGGCTCCGATATAACAATGTGTGCTCCTCCTTATTTAACTCCAGCAATTACTGTTTTGTGCAGCGAGACTATTGCCTGTCAGTCTGAGCTCCTCCCATTTCTCTCCGTCCCCCGCCCCCGTCTCAGGACCGGTCAGCTGCCTGACTGCTGCCCCCGCTTACTGCCGCCCCCTTGGTTCTTTCTGGGGTCTCAGAGTTATTTTTGCTGGCATCAACTCTAGACAGATGTCCCGTTTTGCCTGGGGCTTCTCCCATTCTCCAAGGTTGAAACTCGCGATACAGAGCACAATCTGGGAAGAGCCTGGGGCTTCTTGGAAATCTCAGCATTACTACAACATACAGAATTACTCTTAAAAGGCTTTACTGAACACAATTCTCTAATGACAGTTTTTCCTTTCTTTTCTTCCAAAGCCTCCCTTGAAGCCTCAGAGCATCCAGAGTTGTTTCTTTCAGATTAATAAGGCAGAAAGGTCCAGTTCTGTGTACACCAATATTCAAAATGTGAGTTAAGCAACAGAAGCAGTAGCTGGCCTTTGGGGGGCACTACATGCATTGCAGGTGGGCAGTAAGGTATGTCTGAGAGCCATCTACAGCTTGGAGCTGAGGTTTAGAGTTGGAAGGGACCTTAGACAGTATAATTATACATTCACTTCTTGAAAGTTCCAGTGTCCTGGGGGTCTAAAACCCTTCTCCAGAGCTTCATCTCTTTCCTGGGAGGGTCTAGTGTTTCAATTTAGAGTCAGCAATAACACCTTAAAACATGAATTTCCAAATACTGTTAAAGACAAATAGCTAGGAAAGGAGAGAAATAATGAGAACAGCAGTGCTTAACACAGCTTTTCCTCTTGTTCTCCCAATATGCCTATTCTGAGGACAACTGGAATCCTTGTGGATTGGTTGAAGAAAATGAGAATGTTTGGCCTGAATCCAAGAATCCTGAGGAAACTAGACACCTACCTTCATTTATTCAAAGAGTTGACTATTATATGGATGAGGAATTAGATTTGGATGTTTTGTTTATTTTGTTCTGGTTTAGGGTTTTTTGGCTCTTGAGGTCAAGGCTAGTAAAAGTTGCAAAGAAGCACATTTAGGCTTAATTTCAGAGGAAAACTCTCAAGCCTTCCTAATAATGAGAACTAAGCAGATATAGAGTGGGGTTCCTTGGGAGCTAGTGGTTTTCCACTCAGTATATAGGTCTTCAAGGAAAGGGTGATTAACTATATGTCAGTTATGTTCTAGAGCGGATTGGGGAGGGGAAGAGATTGAATTCTTAAAATATAGGTTGGACTAGATTGCTACCGAAGTCTTTTCCAGCTGAAATTTGGTGATTCCATGAACAGCAGCTGCTATAGCAAGCATATTGTGACCAAGGAGTAATTTTAGAGTTATTCTAAATATAAACAAAGAAGCACATTATGGAGAGACACTACTAGATTTGAGTTAGGGGACCTCCGTTCAGTCTCAACTCTATCATTCCTACTGTGTGACCTTGCCTGTCATCTATAAAATAAACGTAGTTGGATTAGTTTGATCTCCTAGATCTCTTCCAGCTACAAATCTCCAATTCTTTGACTTCTTGTAGTAGACTTTCCCTAAAATGCTCTTTGAGTTGATTTCCATTAACTAGTAACCATTTGAGAAGATGTAATATGTTTCAATGACATCGTTGACTGATCGATGTCTCCATAATGAGAGGATTTTTAATACCATTTTAAGAGATATTTGTTGTGGTATATAACTATTGTGCATATTATGCATATTTTATTAATATTATGCATATTTCATTAATATTATGCATATTTTAAAATGAAGCTAAGAATGAGGAAAATAATCAAGTAAATTAATCTAAATATATTATATGCTACTTATGTTTAGCTATTATAACTGTGTATTTTGTCCACCTGTATAAATTACCTAAATGTCTTTGTAACACACTATTTTCTTTAGGGTAGGAACTGGGATATAGACTAGATCTTTGGTTAAATTGGTATAAGGCAGTTTCCTTTACCAATGCAGGCCTGTACCTTCTTTGTAAACTAGGGTTTTGGAGAGTTGCAAATTGGAGCCTTAGAGAGTTGCCTAGAATGTCTAGGATCACACAGTCTGTATGTCAGGAGGGATTTGAAAAAAAAAACAGGTTTTAAGATGATCTCTGTGTCCATTATGCCATCATCTGGCTATTTTCTTTAAGAAATTTTATCTCATGTTCAACTTTATTAGCTTAAAAAAATCTCATCTTGTGTACAGTTAGTAAGTATATGTATTCTCTACTTCACTGGCAGTGTTCCTTCTAAGAGCAAAAGTTAGTTTAATGCTGTGTCTGAGTGAATCTAGTGCTGCATATCAAGAAATCCAAAATTGAGTCATCTAATTTAGCTTATACAGTAAGATGGAATTCTACTAATTGCTATTGGAGTTTTTAGGAACTGTGAAAAAAGTACTCTTTTACTGCCATATACCACTGTTTTAACATTATATTATGAAAAGGATAGCCAATTTGATCTTTGTGTGGGATTTAGGGACTCACATGACCATTCATTTTATAGTGGAGAATTTATGTCAAGTACAAGTGAAAACAAACAAACAAAATTGTTCATGAAGAGTTTTGCAGCATATTTTAATGAAAAACATTTGGGATAAAATTTTGTTATTCAAAAATATGATTAAAAGTATGCTATTGCATTATATTTGTAATCTATTTCAGGCTTTGTTGAATAAGTTGTGAAGATGCATGGGAAACATATTTCAAAGAGTAAATATTATTTTTGGGTACTAGTAACGTAATTAATGACTAGCTTCTGTTACCAGTGCCATACGGAAGGCAAGCTTAATGAATTATTTTTAGCTCAGTATAAGGGAGGATTTCTTCTGATATAGTTTTATATTGCATACTTTCTTTGATGTATTTTGTTACTTTTCCTTTAGGCATGTGTACTGTATTATATTGTAGAATAGGCTTATGCAAGAATGTGTTCCCTGAAGTTGTTTAGAAGTTTTGTTTTATCTGGGGAGAAGGAAATAAGATTGGCAACATTGTGCAGGGCACACACTGGAAGGAAAATATTCTTTAATAAGACAGGATGTTGCCAAGGTCATGAGTTAAATACTCATAGGAGCAATTGAAATTTCTAGAGAAAAACTGTGTCACAGCCTCAGATAGTACACCTGATACTAGCCATTTGAGACATCGTTGTTGGTGAAAAGCAGTTAGGTGAGGAAGTTTGTAGCAATGCCTTCTTTCGGTCATGTGCTGTGATATAGATAACCATTCCTATAAAGTCTAGTTAAACTGCTTGCCAGCTTGTTGATCCATTGATCTAGGCATATTTCAGATTTTCTGTGAACAAAACATGAAGTCAACAAGCACTGACTAAGAACCTGCTATCTGTGTCACCATGCTAGTATCAGGGATGCAGTAACAAAACAAGAATCCCTGGTCTCAAGATTACATTCTATTAAGGGAGTTTGGAGCATAATAAGCTGGAAGCACTGTGAGTACAGTGAATACAGTACTTGGCCTAGAGTTAGGAAGACCTGAGTTCAAATGTGGCCTCAGACATTTAACCTCTGTCAGCCTCAGTTTCCTGAACAGCAAAATGGGAATAATAAGAGCACCTAATTTACTGGATTGTTGTGAGGATGAAGTGAAATACTAGAAAGCATAGTGCCTGGCACGTAGTAGGTGCTGTATAAATCCTTATGCCCTTCCCCTTCCCTATATATAAAATGTATACAAAATAAACACAAGATAATTTTGAGAGGCAAAAGTGCACTTGCAGCTGAACTGGCCATGATGATGGGTCAGTAACCCCTCATATTCTTTATTAAATATTTCTCATTAAAAAAACTGAATGTATTTCAGTATATTCTACATTATTATTCAGTAAAATGTGGTTCTTGCTCATATATCTTTCCATAGAGACATGAGTGTTATGATGATAAAAAATACATTTTGATCATTCTAAGCACTTTTACAAGCATCATTTTACATGAGATAATTTCTACTTATAGAATGCTGCTGCTGCTTCGGCTGTTGACCTATTGTTAGTAGAACATGTGCTTTTGTGTTGCTTTTCCAAGACTGATGATATATTTGCACTTATCCATTCATAGTCTTAAAAGCCCAGCAACTAAAGCTCAAATGTTCTTTTCTGTCTGTCTATATTTTCATTTGTGGACATCTACAATTATTAGGCATAGAATATAAAAATTGACTTCAGTGCCATTGAATGCTAAATTCCCTATGTTCCCTTCTATCCCAAACAACCTTAGTAAGATGAATATTATTAGCCATGTATGGGAATGCTAATGTATCATTTTCATCAGTAAAGATATTTTAGGATATTAATTTTAAAAGAAATCTAAATTTGGGAGGGGGTGTTGACTGCAGATTTTCATTTGCACTGCTTCAAATTCTAACTATATCATTTAAAAAGAATGTAAAACAAAATACTGTACTATAACCCTCCAATTACAGAATTCATCCAGCAGCTGTTGCCCAGGCAAAATTTCCATTGATAGTGGGAGAGGTTTGCCTGCATAATAACTAGATAATAACTTGAAGATTGTGTAAAGCTCTGCCTTATATTTTAGAAGTGTTTTAGAAATCCTAAATATTTTAAAAGTCAATAATACATGAAGGAATAACTGTACATTTTGGAGCATCTTATCCTTTTTCATTGTCTCATCATAAGCAGTTGCATTTTTTAATGTCTGAGGCCATATTTATACCAACAAAAGAATAAAACATCTAAGCATAGGACCGATTCATTTTAGTGTCCAGGGATAAAATATTGAGGTAAACCGTTGGTTTGGAGGGCAGGTTGGTAGCACAGTAGACAAGAGTACCAGGCCTGGAGGAAAACCTGAGTTTAAATGTAGCTCAGACATTTACTAACTGTATGAGCCAGGGCACATCACCTAACACTGTTTGCCTCAGTTTCTTCATCTGTAAAATGAGTTGGAGATGGAAATAGCAAACCACTTTAGTATCTTTGCTAAGAAAACCCAAAATGGTGTCATGAAGAGTCAGACATGACTGAAAACACACACACACACACACACACACACACACACACACACACACACACACACACACCTGCTCAGTTCAGGACCATTCTCCTCATTTTCTTAATTTTTTGAAACCAGAGTGAATGATAGTTAATAGTCTAATTAGCCCAAAAAGAGAAGGAAAGTGTCTTATATACCATCATTTTCATTGTCTGTAGAGGAAGAAGAGTACAGACATTTGAATAAATGATTTAAAAACTCTCATAATGACCTTTCTTTCATGCAGACAAGGCTTTATTCCAAAAAGTATGTGTAAGCACCCACTATGGGCTATTTCCCAACTATATGGCTTAGGTTTTCAAATAGTTCTTCAGGTTCTATGTGGCCCTTCTAAAACTGTGTAGCTCACTAAGTATGCTTCCTATTAACAACCAACCAACACATACAACTGACCCTAAGTGAAATCTTATACTAATCTGACATAATAAAAATAGTAACTGTAAGTCATTCCTCCCATAAACCCAGGGAGTACTACAAATACACACAGTGTCCATGGGAACTGTGGGCTTTAACTTGAAGGAGTCCAATAGTAGTAGGCACACATATAGGATACATGGATGTCAAGATAACTCACAACTCCTGGTACTGTTTACTCCCTCAGGTTAAGTGGCTAGCTGCTGTAGACCTGTTTTATGGGGTGTGTGTGTGTGTGTGTGTGTGTGTGTGTGTGTGTGAGAGAAATCAATATCGGGTCTCCTACTGCTTGAGTAGTTCCCCATCAAAGCTATTGGTGTAGCAAAGTGTGTGTGGGGGGGGGTTTGAGAGAAATTCTTTCCCTGTCCCCATCCTTAACAGTTCCTCCCCAGATAGTTCCTTGCTTGAAATCTCTGCCATCCTTGAAATGCCAAAAATTCATCCAGGGTTTGTCTAATTAAATAACCTAGGGGCGTGGCAAATTTGTTTTGCTTATTTGCCTCAACTTAAGAGGTGTCCATACTTCATAAAGAGATTATTTTCTATGATTTGAATAGGTGTCCATACTTCATAAAGAGATTACTTTCTATGATTTATCAACTAAAGGGTTGGGAGTAGAAAAGAGAGAGAATTAACTTTCCTCCTGTCTTACACATGAATTTATGTTCTGGTATAATTATTTCCCTCTCACCCTCACTGCTCTCTTCAGTCAGCCTTATCCCTATAAGTACCACAGAATGAATTTCATTGGGGTCACATTCACTGGTATGTCTATTTCATCATAAATTCAAATTAGATTATTTTGGAATGTTTCTGAAAAATTATTGTGTTTCTTAACTTTAAAAAAGTTCATTTTTTGTTTTACATTTCAGAGATGGTGAGCTGTGTTCCAATAGACCACTGGTCAATAGTTCTAATAAAATCATTCGAACGGGTGGATCTTCAATCTTTCAGCACTCTGTGGAAGGTTGGAAAATCAATTCCTCTTTGGTCTTGGAGATAAGGTAAGCAAGACAGCGCAATTCGTATGATTCTTTGTCCTATAGCTTTTTGAGGACAGCAAACTTACCTAGACCTTAAGATTTATAATTTAAAATGAATATTTTTTAATAAAATACTGTAATGCCTCTATTAGCTGTGTCCCCATTAAATGGAAGAAAGCTGATAAAACTCAAATCATTCTGTCATCTGAATGTTAAGGAATGGCTATGTGGGGTTGATGTGATACCCCTTTCATGAGAAAAGAATAAAAAATATCAATGTAGTTTTCCTTCAGTAGTTGTTATTTTTATGTATTTATTTATGTATTTATTTATGGTTTTATTTATAGGCAGTTGGAGTTAAGTGACTTGCCCACGGTCACACAGCTAGTCAGTGTTTGGTCTGAGGCTGGATTTGAACTCAGGTCCTCCTGACTTGAGGGCCGGTGCTCTATCCACTATGCCACCTAGCTGCTCCGTCTTTTAGTAGCTGTTAACTCAGTATAAATATTCATCTTTAGCTCTTTCATCAATACTTTGAAATTCTACACTGCACTCAAAAAATTCTAATAGTACTGCAGTTATTTGTGTTCCTGTCTTCCCTCCCTACTGGTCTTTAAAATCCTTGATGAGACAGATTAAATATTATCATTTTTACAATTGATAAAATTAATCTTTAGAATATCCTACTGTTTATAAAGTGTTTTCTACACAACTCTGTGAAGGAATGTAAGTTAAAATTATATTCTCTCTGATTTAGGGACCAGAAGGCTGTAGCCAAATTGCTTATTTATGATTACATGTGTACTAAATAGATATCATTGTAGGATTTTAATCCTTTTCTACTTTTACAAGTGATCTCATTCCATTCTGTGTCCAACACATTGCCTCCTCTGTTATCCTCACTCTTCCATTTATTTTCAATCTTTCTCTGTCTGTGGGATCATTCCCTACTGCCAAAAAAAACATGCCCATGTCTCCTCTATCCTGAAAAAAGTGCTCCCTTGATCCTTCCATCCCCTCTACCATCATTTTGCCCTTTTGCTCTTTGTAGCTAAAGTCCTCAGAAAGGCCATCTATAATAGGTACCTCATTTTCTCTCTTCCCCCTCTGTTCTTAACTCCTTGCAATCTGGCTTCTGACTTTCTCCTTCCACCAAGATTGTTCTCTTCAAAATTGCTAATGATTTCTTAGTTGCCAAATCCAGTGGCCTTTTCTCGGTCTTCTTTGTGGCCTTTGACATTTTTGATCACTCTTTCCTCTTTGATACTCTCTTCTTTCTAGGTTTTCAGGACACCACTCTCTCAGTTGGTTCTCTTCCTATCTGACTGCTCCTTCTCTGTCTCCTTTAATCATGCCCTCTAACAACATAAGACCCTCAGGACTTTTTTGTCCTGGGTCCTCTTCTCTTCTCCCTCTGTACTACTTCAGTTGGTGATCTCATCAATTCCCATGGGTTTAATTGCAATTTCTTTGCTGATTGATCCCCAAATCTACCTATACTGCCCCAAACTATCTACTGACCTCCAATCTTGCATCTCCAGTTACCTTTTGAACATCTTGAGCTGGATGTTCAGTAGGCATCTTAAACTAAACATGCCCAAAACTGAAGTCATTATCTTTCTCACCAAAAACCCCCATCCACCCCTCCCCCCACTTACCTTCCCTGTGACTGTAGAGGACAACACTATACTTCAGGCATGCAGCCTAGGAGTCATCCTAGACTCTTCACTGTCTCTCACCCCCTATATCTAATCTGTTGCCAAGGCCTGTCAGTTTCACCTCTTAAACATCTCAAATATGCCCCCTTCTCTTCATTGACCCTTTCACTGTTCTAATGCAGGACTTCATCATGTCATGCCTGGACTATTGTAATAGTCTGCTAGTAGTCCTGAGTGCTTCAGGTCTCTTCCGAATCAAATCCATTCTCCATTCAGCCACTAAAGTAATTTTTCTGAAGTGCAGGTCTAATCATGTCACCCCAGTACTCAATAGCCTCCACTGGCTTCATATGCCTCCAGGAGCAAATACAAAATACTCTGTTTAGCATTCAAATCCTTCATAACCTAGCCCCCTCCTACCTTTCCAGTATTCTTAAACCTTACTCCCCAGCATGTGCATGTATACTTCAATCCAGTGACATAGATCTCCTAGCTGTTCCATGAGCAAGACACTTAATTTCTTGGCTCTGGGCATTCTTTCTGGCTGTCCCCATTGCCTGTATCACTGTCCTTCCTCATCTTTGCTTCCTGAGTCACTTGGCTTCCTTTAAGTTCCAACTAAAATTCTACCTTTTACAGGAAGCCTTTTCCAACTCCTCTTAATTCTAACATCTTCCCTTTGTTAATTATTTCCTATTTGTTCTGTATTGCTCTGTCTATATTTATTTGCATGTTCTCTCTGCCGTTAAAATGTAAGCTTCTTGAGGGCAAGGACTGTTTTTTGTTTCTTTTTGTATCCCTAGGATTTAGCACAGTGACTGGCACATAGTAAGCATTTAATACTGTTGTTTGAGTGTGTTATCTGAAATCAAATCTGATGACTCTTTCTATTACCTGGCACTGCTTTTCACACACTACCTGACTTCTGCTTTAGTAGTTCAAGGTTCTGTGATTTGGCTGGTATGAGTATCCCTTCCACGGACATGATCCACAGATCATACTTCCTCAGTGACTTCAGTAGTCTTCAGGGATTTCCGCAGCCAGAAAACTCATCGCCCAGTGGCTTACCTGAAAACCAACCTTCTTTAAAACGTAACTAGTCTTGGGGGCAGCTAGGTGGCACAGTGGATACAGCAGTGGCCCTGGAGTCAGGAGGACCTGTGTTCAAATCCAGCCTCACACCAAACACTTGACACTTACTAGCTGTGTGACCCTGGGCAAGTCACTTAACCCCAATTGCCTAAGAAACAAAAACAAGCAAAAAAACCCCATAACTAGTCTTTAGAACATAGATATAAAGTTCATCTGTAAGTTCATACTTGAAACATGCTCCAGCTTGTGGTACTTGTCAGAGGTTGCACTCCACTGGAGTGCCTTCAAGATCCCAAGGTCACCTTCAGACCACAAGGCAACACTGGAGCAGGAATTTAGTGGATACTCCCTCTGACACATAATTGATCTTTGTGTCTCCTTCCTGGACCAAGCACAGAGTTGTACTCAACAACAAATGCTTGATTAACGTTTGTCAGACTGAATGTTGTAGATTCTCTTACAGTTATTCCCATAACTTTTCTAGTAATAATTATTGATGTATCAGAAAAAAAAATTGTGGCTTTCTACATATTTATTTTGGTGATTATCATATGTAAAGATGAAGCTTCCTTTTCGTACTTTGGTGGTATAAACTATCAACATTGATATGAGGAAAAGGCTTTACAAACTTTAAGGGATTATGTAAATATGAATTATGTTTCTTGTTATAACTATTGTTATTATCTTGGGAACCTATGCATAAAGGAGTCATCCAATTACTCTATTTCCTGTTTGCCTGGATGACTTACTCTTAAGAATAGATGAATAATACATCATGGGTATTAGTTTGTACCTCTTACTATCTTGTCACTCCAGATTGTACACTGTATATATCTATGTAAGCCACCAAAATGCATTTCCTAAACATTCATTAATAACGAGGAAATGGTTTAGTATCACGTAAAGGAGGTTTAGAAAAGTCAGGAAGGTGGGTTTTTCGTTTGCTTCATTCTGATTGTTAAATCTAGATAGAACTTTAGCTTAAATGTGAAGTTTCAAAGAATTTATGCCCTACAGCATGATCATTTTATTGTACTAATATTTATAAAATATGAATTCTGCAATTAGCAGTGCTCATACATAGTAAAGAATTTGTGATTGGGGGAGGATTTATGACTTAAGTGAATCTCATTTATTTTTCTCTTAGGTGGTAGTACGCTTAGCATAGTGCAGGTAGCTATGTATATTTGTTAAATGCTTTAAGGCAAAGTTTATATATCTAAATTAAGAAATTAAAATTTACCCTTAAAATAAAATAGTTATGGTTTATTTCATGAACTACCATAGATGATAATCCCTTGTTGTTGTTGCTGTTCAGTTGTTTCAGTTATGTCTGACCCTTTGTGACCCCCTTTGGGGTTTTCTTGGCAAAGACACTAGAGTGGTTTGCTGTTTCCTTCTGCAGTTCATTTCACAGATGAAGAAACTGAGGCAAACAGAGTTAAGTGACTTGCTAAGGATCACATAGCTAGTGTCTGAGGTCAGATTTGAACTCAAGAAGATGAATCTTCCTGAATCTAGGCTTGGCACTCTATCTACTGTACCACCTAGTTGCCCCATAATTCTTTCTTCTTGCATGTAATATTTCACTGTTCTGATTGTTCCTGACATGAATTCTGTGCCTCAGAATCTCCAGACTCAAAATACTTCTGAGGCAGCATGCACAGGGGTGGGGAGCCTGAAGCCTTTGAGGCCACAGGTTTCCCTCATCTAGATAGTGAAAAGAGCACTTTCTGTCAATCAGAAGACCTGAGGATCTGGTGTTTACTTCCTTTGACACCTTGGCAAGTTACTTAACCAGACCCTGTTTAGGTCTCAGTTTTCTAATCTGTAAAATAAACATGTTAGACCAAATGTCAACAGACATTCCTTTCAGCTCTAGAATTATGATGCTATGAGTACTTTTGAGTGTGGCCCTTGCCACAAGAAGCTTACAGTGCTAGAGATTAAGATATGTTCACCTACAGAGGAGGTAGGGTTTGATTTTCTCCTACCTGAATTGATGTCACTTGATTCAGCCATGGGAGATACTGGCAAAATAAAAAAGGTGTCAACACTTGGTGATGCTTTTAAAGGGAATGTGAACACCTCTCTCTGAGTCAGAAGGGGCAGAAAGAATTGTCCTATTTTGTAAAGGGATCAGGGAATGTTAATACCTTGTTACCACTTCATTTGTGACTAAGAAATCCCTTCTCCACTGCACACATAAAAATAAGATGGACATGTACATAGTAGGATGGGAAAAGTATTGAAATATATATTCTTGAGTAG